ATATATATATATATATATATATATATATATATATATATATATATATATATACTGTATATATACACTATATTATATATATATACATATATGTATGTATGTGTGTATGTAGGTATGGGGGAGTGGTGGAGCAGAGATTAGAGAAGGTGGGCCTGTGAAGGTTGTTGGTTCAACTACCCAGACTGACAACATCAAAATGTGGATGGGATTAGTGAAGCACCCACACCTGTCTTCACCCTCACCTGCCCCACACTGGGCCCTTGAACAAGGCCCTTAACCCCCAATATCTGCTCCCCCCGGACCCTCTAGATGACAGCTCTCTGCTCCACACAGAGGGCTGAGGTAGCTCAGTGGTGTGTGGTTGCATCAGGAAGGGCCTCCAGTGTAAAAACTATTGCCAAGTCTTTGCACGAGTTAGTTCGCTTTGGTGACCCCTGAAGAAGGGAGCAGCCGAAAGAAGAAGAAAAAACACACATATAGGTATATTGTAGGTATTAAAATGATATTTGTTATTGTTCATACAATACACCAAATAATACATACTGGACAAAATTTCATGCAGCTACTAAATAAAATCATTACAGAAAATAAAAAATGAGTAGTCATACACAGATAGGTGAATATACATGAGTTTTCATAAGTTCAGTCTGTTGATTTAGAGGTGTGTCCTTGCTCTGATCAGGAAGCCAACTGGCTGATTCCACCTCAAAAGTCTTCAATATAATTTGTTTCATTAATATGTCAGATCATGTGTTTTGTTTATTTTTGTGTCTGTCTGCACATTGTTTTATTTCCCTTCAACACGCCAGCTTATTCTGTCCTGAATGAAAGCCGTGGATGTGGTGCTGTATGATGTGAGTTGTGCTGACGTGACGCAGAAGTTCTGGGTCATCTGAGTGAAGAGCAAAAGGCTCAACCATTTACAGAGAACCAGTGTTAGTTCAGACTGAACAGAACAAGGTCTGTCAGAACAACAGTTCAAAATTCATTTGCACAACAGCAGACATGGGCAACGTATGGCCCGAGGGCCAAAAGTTACCATTGGACAACCTCTATCTGGTCCACAATATCCATAACTGAAAAGAAAACAACAGAGTGAATGATAAAATCCTGCATTAGTTCAGTGAATCTTAATGAAGTCTAAATTAAACAAAAACATTCAAAAGCTTTGGACTGAAGTAGGCTGAACACTTTTTAAGTTGTATTTGTACAGTGTACCTTTAAAGCCTCCAAAAATCAAACAGCTGTTTGCTTGTTTTTGGCATAATATGTTAAATACACCTGTATTGTCACAAGAGCCAGTTTACAGGTATATATATATATATATATATATATATACAGGTCCTTCTAAAAAAATTAGCATATTGTGATAAAAGTCATTATTTTCCATAATGTAATGATAAAAATGAAACTTTCATATATTTCAGATTCATTGCACACCAACTGAAATATTTCAGGTCTTTAATTGTTTTAATACTGATGATTATGGCATACAGCTTTTTTTTTTTTTTTTTTTTTTTTTTTTTTTTTTTTTTTTTCATGAAAAGGTTCTCTAAACAAGCTATTAACCTAACCATCTGAATCAACGACGTAACTTTAAACACCTGCAAAAGATTCCTGAGGCTTTTAAAAACTCCCAGCCTTGTTCATTACTCAAAACCGCAATCATGGGTAAGGCTGCCGACCTGACTGCTGTCCAGAAGGCCATCATTGACACCCTCAAGCAAGAGGGTAAGACACAGAAAGAAATTGCTGAACGAATAGGCTGTTCCCAGAGTGCTGTATCAAGGCACCTCAGTGGGAAGTCTGTGGGAAGGGAAAAGTGTGGCAGAAAACGCTGCACAACGAGAAGAGGTGACCGGACCCTGAGGAGGATTGTGGAGAAGGGCCGATTCCAGACCTTGGGGGACCTGCGGAAGCAGTGGACTGAGTCTGGAGTAGAAACATCCAGAGCCATCGTGCACAGGCGTGTGCAGGAAATGGGCTACAGGTGCCGCATTCCCCAGGTCAAGCCAATCTTGAACAAGAGACTGCGTCAGAAGCATCTCACCTGGGACTGCTGCTGAGTGGTCCAAAGTTATGTTCTCTGATTACAGTAAGTTTTGCATTTGCTTTGGAAATCAAGGTCCCAGAGCCTGGAGGAAGAGAGGAGACACAGAATTCACATTGTTTGAGGTCCAGTGTCAAGTTTCCACAGTCACTGGGGTGTCATGTCAGCTGCTGGTGTTGGTCCACTGTGTTTTATCAAGGGCAGGGTCAATGCAGCTAGCTATCAGGAGATTTTGGAGCACTCCATGCTTCCATCTGCTAAAAAGCTTTATGGAGATGAAGATTTCATTTTTCAGCACAACCTGGCACCTGCTCACAGTGCCAAAACCACTGGTAAATGGTTTACTGACCATGGTATTACTGTGCTCAATTGGCCTGCCAACTCTCCTGACCTGAACCCCATAGAGAACCTGTGGGATATTGTGAAGAGAAAGTTGAGAGACGCAAGACCCAACACTCTGGATGAGCTTAAGGCCGCTATCGAAGCATCCTGGGCCTCCATAACACCTCAGCAGTGCCACAGGCTGATTGCCTCCATGCCACGCCGCATTGAAGCAGTCATTCATGCAAAAGGATTCCCAACCAAGTATTGAGTGCATAACTGAACATGATTATTTGAAGGTTGGCGTTTTTTGTATTAAAAACACGTGTCTTTCATTGGTGGGATGAAATATGCTAATTTTTTGGGACAAGCATTTTGGGTTTTCATGAGCTGTATGACATAATCATCAGTATTAAAACAATTAAAGACCTGAAATATTTCAGTTGGTGTGCAATGAATCTGAAATATATGAAAGTTTCATTTTTATCATTACATTATGGAAAATAATGACCTTTATCCCAATATGCTAAATTTTCTAGAAGGACCTGTACATTAGTCTGTCAGTCACTGAAATTATCCATGAAATTAGCTGAAGTTAACAGTTATTTTTTGAAAGTTTGTAGACTAAAAGAAAGGTAAGTTACCTGGATATGATTGTCCCACAGGAGAAGCTACAAAACATGCCGCCAGCAGCTATAAATTCCTGTATTTCCTCTAGAATTAACGCAGTAAAAACAACAAAATTTTGATCTCCATTCTTTCTTCGGTTGAGCACTGTCACGGTTGCTAGGCAACAGGACATATGCCGACGTAACCCTGAAGGCTAGACCTGTCCCAGTTCACAGCCGCTGGTCTACGTGGTCTTTGAAGGACCCAGCCTACGTCGACCGGGTAGGCCGGATCCTTAAAAGGATGCAGCCATTGGATTGGGACACAGCTTCAGTGTTTTGTTCAGAGATCTCTTCACTCTAGGTTATGTGACCTCACTGTGTCAGTTAGAGGCTGTGAAGAATCTGTCAGTGTTTTTCAAGTGAAAATGGCGTCTTTGTTTGCAAATTACGTTGCCATGGTAACTTAAAGCTCCAATAGAAGTAACAGCACACATCACGGGGCCAAGCCGGTCGTTTTGATATAACATTTGTGGGGGGGGGGGGGGGGACACGTTGTGGTTCGGGCTGTAATAAAGTTGACAGAAGAGCAAGACCCTTGTCAGGTGGATAATAGGGGGCTGCCTTCAGAGGGTCCCCATTAAAGAACAGAACAAACTGAGGTCTGCAAACAGTTCCAGCAACAAAAGTTCACAAACTGATTGTTGCCACATCCTAACAGCTGTTTCCTGTTTCTCATGTCAATTCAGAAGTTTGACTATGACAGCAGCACGGTGAGGAAGCGTTTCTTCCGAGAGGCTCTCCTCCAGATCTTCATCCCCTACATGCTGAAGCAGCTCGGCCCGTCCTGCGCCTCTGTGAGTTCCTGTTCTTTTTGAGGACACCTGTGTGTCCAGAACTTTGACGCAAGCTTTGACTCCTGTTGTTGCTGTGAACTCTAGGAGCTTCCACGCTTCCAGGAGCTGATCTTTGAGGACTACTCCTGCTTCATCCTGGTGGAGAACATCTTTGAGGAGGTGGTTCTGCAGTCCGTTATGAAAGACATCATGATGAGTAAGTCTTCATGGGTACTGCTCTGTTTCCAGATGTTCACAGGATGCTCTGCTGCACACCTGGATCATCTAGAGCTCACCACTACGAAATGCCTTGTGTTTCAGAGCAGAGGTTCCCAAACCATCCAGCTTCTGCTTCACAAATCAACAGACTCACAGCTGAAAACATCTGGTTCCTAATGATAGTCAAACCACCCTTTAGTTATTCCTTATTTTACAAAATTATTTTTCTCCAAGTCTGTGAAATATCTCAACATTCATACTAAACACAGATTATATTTCAAGATTATTCAAGATTTTGTTTTTGTGAAAATTGAGATAAATGTACTGAACTTAATATAACACCTTTCTATCTAATGAAGATCCTCAAAGCTCTTAACACATGCTGTGCCTCATTTACCTCCACATACACTTTCATACAGCACTACTACACACACACACATTCATACAACTCTACTACACACACACATTCATACAACTCTACTACTACACACACATACAAACAGGAATGAAATACACGCACACATTCATACAGCACTCTACTACACACACACACACATTCATAGAGCATTCTACTACACACACATTCATACAACTCTCTACTACACACACATTCAT